CCTTTCAAGTATTGCACCTTACCAGAAGCGCAACAGGCCATCGTCCTCAACAACATCCTCGGCCAGCTCCACGCCAGCAGCGGCAAGAGCCTGGACTGGACGGCCATCTCCGAGGCCCTCCCCGGCCGCACAATGGCCTCGATGCGCGCCGTCTGGGACCGCTACAGAAACGACATGAAGACCGCCGCCGCCGGCGAAGGCGAGTTTGTCGCTGTGCCCAACAAACAGAAGACTCGTACGTACTTATCAAGTTTCCACAAACTCCAGACCAGACCAGGGGAGAAAAAAGGACCGCATTGGTATTGACAAGGCCGGAACAGCTCGCAAGAAAAGCACCCCCAAGACCGCAGTCGCCGTGGCTTCGGAGGACGCTGACGCCGAGGACGTTCCCGAGACGCCTGCCGAGAAGCGCGGCGGCGGAGCCAAGAAGCGCGCTTCCGGCGCCGACGGCGAGGGTACGTTCCTTCCGCATACACTCTACACACTCTTTCTCGGCTATAAAGCCTAAGCTGAACTGACATGTGGCACAGAGGGCTCAGCCACCAAGAAGAAGCGCACTCCCAAGAAAACCCCCGCCAAGAAGACGCCTGCCAAGGTTGAGGAGGAGGAGGAAGCCTCGGAGGAGGCCGAACCTCCCACCCGCACTACTGCTGATGTCGAAGACGCCAAGAATAGCGACGAGGACATGAAGGAAACGGCCGAGGCCGAGGTCTAGTTGAGAGCCCACCAGCTCCTGGTCCATCCAGACTGTGGCACTGGCACGTCTGCCGCTACGCGAGCGACGACAGCATGATTCCGGGACAGTACTTCCTTGCTTGACACCCTCGAAATTGTCTTGAATGATTCTCGACGATTTGCGTTTCTTGCTTTTACGCTTTGGGAACTGGCATGCCTCAGCCGTCTACCTGTGATGGCTTAAGCACCATACACTCACTGGAAGAGATAGGCTGGCAGGGCTAGTCTAATGCCAAGAAATCAAAACCCGCTGTCCTGATTTAAATGTTCAAGTGATGCCAGTAGTGACAATATGTGCGAGATGAAGACACACGTGCAAGAGGTCGCAGTGAGCAAGCCGCCTGTATCTTCCATCAATCTCGTGTATATTGAGACCGAGAACCACCCCACTGTTCGACAGGGACATATTGAATGTAGTGTAGTAGCATGTGGCTTGCAGAAAGGGTGTGGGCAACCCTGGGAAGTATGCGATGGGAAGCATACCCGGTACCGGTGTTTTCACACAATCCGGCGGAGTATTTCAGCGTTGCGGAATCAACTCGCAGGAGGTTCCGTTGCAACATGACCTTGGAGCCAGCCGAGATCAGAATCAAATGGGACAGGCTCCACGGACGAGCAAGTACGAGACAACAGGGTTTCATTGTTTCGCGAACCATAATGCCAGTAACGCGTCGCTCACTATGCACTGCGCCTCGGCGAAGCTACCCATTCCCCAGAATATCCGAAGCAATAAAGAAAGAAAAGCGCACGACATGAGGACAACCCCTTAATCCTCTGGAACGCCAACCAAATCCCAAATATGGTTCCCCCCGATGCCCAATCAAGCCGTCTATCGTCGTCAAGTCGAGCCCCCTCCATCGTGACCAATTACCATGCGCTCTGAGCCGAGGTAGGTACTGTATACCAAGCTGCCATTGTTCCAGCCATGGCATCAAAACTGCGAACAAACCGCGTCAAACAAGTCAGAAAAGAAAAGCTGCGCCTTCGTTGCACTATCGCTGTCGTGTCCGAATGGCTGTAGGCGATATTGTCGTTCGCCTAAGTCATGTGCTAATATGATTGCAAATATAAACAGGTTTTGTGGCCTGTCATTCCTTAGTCAACATTGCCAAGTTACCGCATCAGCTTCTTGTATTTCAAGAAATCGAGCATGCGCATCTCGTGCTCGTCGCAAGCGAGGCTCCACTTGCGGCGAACCTCTTTGTCCTGGCGAACCCAGCTGAGGTATTGCTCGACACCCTCGTCACCCTGTGTCGTGAGGAAGGCATAGCCTGCAGTTCCGCGTTCTTCCAGAATCTGTGCCTTGCGAACTTCAAAGTGGTAGGTGATCTGGGCGTTGAAAGCATCCCACTGTTGAAGGTAGTTCTGGAACTCAACGAGATACTTTTGCCACGTCGTGAGAGAGGGCCTGAGACCGGACACGGCCAGGGCAGCCGGCGGAGTAGGAGCGCGTGGAACAGGCGGAAAGTTGAGTTCGGGATCCTGCTTCTTTTCTTTCTCAATGGGTATCCGCTCCGACGCCCGACTCTCGAACGGCAATTGTGACTTCAAGTCGCCGAATGAGTTGAGCCCAGTCGGCTTTGTTGCAAACGGAGCAACGTTCTTCAAATCGGCAAAGCTGGCGCGGAAGTCCTCACTATCCTCGGATCCCGCCGTATTAGGGTTGAAAGGGGCCCTCTTGACACCATTCGGCTGTGACGTCTCGGGTACGGGTTGAACATTTCCAGGTCGCCACTCAGGTCGTGAAGGCTCGACGGGGATGTTGCGGGCGCTATCCCGTCTCGAAGGGGGCGCGCTTCTGGGGTTGGGAGGCGGCGTCTCGGGATCTATGTCCATGGGCATTGGACTGCCTGTTGTAGCCGGTTCAGGTTCCGGCTGGCGGGCACCACCATCTGTGTCTTCATTGCTGCTGCTTTCTTCATTGACCAAGCCGGCCGTTCCGACGGTTGGATGGACCGACTTTGGCTTCCGCGAGTTGGAGCGTGATGGTCGTGTTGGAGAAGATGCTTTGGTCTGAGTTGGCTGGTGTGCAAAATTCTGCGGGCCAATCTTCTGACTCCAGCCCTCTGCGTCGAACCTGACTTCCTCTGCCGTCTTCTCATTCTCGGCCGGGAGCGGCTCCTTCGCGGGACGAGGCGGCGGGCGCTTGAGCGGCGAGTTCCGTCCCGTACGGCTTGCGGATTGGGTGCGGCGCTTGGCGAACGGATCCTCCTGCTGCGGAGTATGGGGGCTGCCGGCGCTAAACTGCCAAGTATCGGCCCCTTGCTCATCGACAAAACTGGTGTTGATATCATCAGCACTGCTCCGGGCAAACCTCTTCTGCTCAGGAGTAGTCCGTGTAAACGTGTCGTCATCAACCACAAAATTGAAGCTATTGGTACAAAATTTGTCAGCATGATCTCTGGGTTCATTCATCTCGGACCGCTGTCTTTTGCTGGGCGTGTTTGCACCGTGAATCAGCCTCTCGAGTAGTTCGCGCTGTTTGCGCTCAAAAGGGGTAAGAGACTCTGGAGTGGTGGAGGAGCCATCCCCACTTGGAGAAGGTGTTGCAGGATCTCTGCGTGTTTGCGCGGTTGCCATGGTGGCCTGGGATTTGAAGCCTGGCCGTCGGCCATACACGGGTGATATTGACTTGGAGGGATGGTGGGTGCTGTGATTGATCGACGCAAGAAAAGAAGAATTCTCAGAATGGTAGGATGCGCCGTACATGGAAGGGCCATTTGCCTTGTTCGAGGGTGTGCTAGCGTTGGGTTGAGCTAAGAGGTGGTCAGTTTCTGCATTCTGAGTGAGCCAGGACATGACGAGCGTACCTTCATTTGCAGCTGCTGTTGTCGGTCTGCTTCCTCCAGGCTCTCCAGCATCGTGGGCTCGTCCTGACGGGGTATACTTGGCGCTTGCTCTTGAGGCAAACGACCGCTTATGAGTGTCGGAAGCAGTGTTGGCGGTATGACTCTGTTGGGCTCCGGAAGGGTCTTCCGTGTGAGCTGTCCGAGGCGGGCTTGAGCTTCGAGGACGAACTCCACCTGGGGACAGCCCGGCATCTTGGTACTCAGAGTGTCGTGTGCTTTCTCTTGTGCTCTTGGTACGGCCTACCGAAATGCCATCAAAGGGATTGGTCTTCTCGCCGCCCCCACTGCTGTAGGGAGTTCTTTGCCGAGAATCACCAAACTTGTCGCGAAACGGTGCAAGAGGGTCCGGAATCGAGTCGCGTTGCTGCTGGGCGGCCGACGCTGATGCATCGTATGTGTGTCGGTTGGTCGCGTATGCGCTGGAACTCACAGACGGCTCATCTCCAGGAACAGGAGAGTGAGGGGCATAGCCCGACGACTTCTTGGCCCCGAAAGCGGCTTCGGCTCTCTGCTTCTGTGCAGGCGTCCTTGGCACAGGTCTCTCAGGTCTCTGTGCGGGTCGAGGGGGTGGGACGGGCTGCTCGGGCACAGGTCTCGGTTTCGCCTGAGAGGCGGCGGACTTGCCTTGAGACGAAGGCCTCATCTGTTCAAACGCCTGCCACGCATTGCGCCTGGATTCCATAGGGTCTTCGCGGGGTTGAGCCTTCGCAGTCGGCGCGGCACCCGAGGTAAAGTTGCGGTACTTGTTCGCCCCCGATTGGGTAGCATTACGAGTTGGTTGATTTCGCCGAGGTGGTGGGGGAAAGTTGGCCCCGGCATCTTGCCAGGGATTGCCTCTGACACCTGAAGCGGTGGGATAACGCGAGCGACCCCGGCTGGCATCGTACTTGGCTTTTTGCTCGGGATCGGTCAGAATCTCATGTGCGGACTGGATGACCTGAAACTTGGAGTTGACTTCAGCTTCTCTGCCGGGGTTTCGGTCAGGGTGGTAGAGGAGCGCTTCGTCTGTTTAGCAGGGATACCAGTCATCAGGGATGGAAACACCGACCTAGCTTCCTGAATTGCTTCTTGATGTCATTGACATCTGCTGTCACAGGCAGGTTGAGGTCCGCGTAATAGTCGCGAGAGTTGTCAAGTTTCGGCATATTGAATCGTGTCTCCGACCCTGGAAAGGTCCTTCAATGACGGGCTGGATGTAGGCGGGGGAGTGATCAACGCCAGAACCAGGCATCCCCGTTGGTACCCGTCACAGCCTGTTCGAGCTTTCCTGTTATGCCCAGACGCGGCCTGCCAGAGGACCAGAGGAGCCGAGGCGAAGAGCGACTATGTGATCGTCAAAGATCGCCGAGCTTGCGTGCTGGGGATGTATTGAGATGCCTGGTGAAAATCGGCCGAAAAAGGAGAGTCACAGCAGCGGCTGGACAGGTGTATTGGCGTGAAGGTTGCGAGTCTGACCTTAACTAAGACGACGGAATCGGGTGCAGACAATCTTTGGTGGGAAGAGCCAGGGGGCTCGAGGTGGAAGAGAGAGTTCGGCTGCCGCTGTAGGAGATTAGTTAGCTCATGTCATCCGGACGATCGCCTTCTGCGCTTGGGACCGAGGGAATTGTAAACATAAAACGGAGGGGAGTCCAAGGAGGCCAGTCCTCGGGTGCAGAGCACTGAAGTCCGATCTAGGCATTCAACACAAGGTAACGATCGCAGCGGAGGACGGGAAGGAGTAGGCAAATCGCAAGGCAGCAGCAGCCTCTCAACGGCAACTGGACAGGACGGCGATGCAGCACCTCAGTCGCAACAGACAAAGGTGCAGCGAGGCAGACAGCAGCCGAGCCACCCATCCAAATTTCCCTCTTGCGAGTGGTCTTGGGTGCTGTACCACTCACGCTCACTCGCACCCGGGCAATGGGTACGCTGGGCGCCGTGACCCGGACAGACCAGGGCGACAGGGCACGTGAAGGGCAGAACACAAAGTGCAGGAGAGCTCTCTTACCTGACAAGGCCAAAGCACCTATCGTTCTTGTATCGTGGGCAAAAGACCGCAGACGACGTTTAGGGACGGCGAATGTTTATGAACAGGCGGGTTGGTAAGATCGTGGGTCGGCGCTGGCTTGGTAGGTAGGTAGGTAGGTAGGTAGGTAGGTTTCGGGGCTGATGTCGACAGGTTACCTAGGTAGGTACGCAGGGTAACAGAGGGTTCAGACGAGAAAGGGGTGGACGGCCAAACGAAGGGGAGAAAGGGTCAGGTAGAGGTCGCGCTAGGTAAAGGACCCCGAGGCAAGTGAGTAGGTAGACAGTAGGAAGGTCGGTGATGTGCCCCGCCAACAGATCAGCTCGAAGAATGTCTCGTCGCATGGAAGAAAACAATTGCGCGGTTGCCTCAGCACACAGGACCGGGGGGGGGGGGGGGTTGGACGTGGGACGTCAACGCTATGAGTGGAGACAAGCCTCCCGTTCTGGAGGGTCCCCCAGACGGCGCACTAAACAGAGATCCCTCCCCCCTAGGCCAGCTCTACAGGGACCGGGAGCGGGACGTCGTAAGGACCCAAGGACCCAGTGACGTTGTGGTGTGGCTGAGACCTGCGAGCCACAGGCAACATGCGTCCTCCTTGACGATCACACGCTTCACAGGCTCGCCACGGCCGACCGACTGACGAACCTCTGCTGGAAAAAGAAGGTGAGACTGATCGATCCCACATAGCTGGCTGGACCCAGTCATTCGTCCCTCTGCGCCGCTGCCGAGTTGCGTACTGCACAACTCAGCGACACCAAGGTTCATTCCGGATTGTCACCAGCCAGCGAGCTACTGGCCCAGTCACATTTGCAAGAGGTGTAACCGCCTTCTCACCGCTGCAATGTCAGTGTTGGCCTGCCTGACATCGATGGCCGCATCTCACTCACGTTACCTTATCTATCAGATCCCCTATGCGAGTCATCCCTCATTTCCACGCACCAACCCTCTACGGACTAGGAGCTTTGACCTACCCTAGCTGGGCCGCCCGCGTACTTCGTCTGTACATACCGTCCATCTGTACATACCCAAGTCAGGGCACACAAGGCGTGTATGTGCAGGTACCCTTAGACAATGCCCTCCAGATGGCGGCCCCAATCAGATTGCTTCTGGAAATGTAGGGCGAACGTTCGTCATCCTGCATCAGAGCTCCTGTACGGTGACGATCGTACCCAGCATGACCCAGCGGCACGGTCTCGTGTGGCCTGCCTGTTTCGCTCCTCAAACCGCTGTCTGGCCATACACAACACCAAAAAGACCTGTACTGCGTGGGCACAAAAAAGTTGTGATCATCGTGTCTTATTGTGCGCCTTCAATTCGTGAAGGTTTGTTGATTCCCATGTTCGGCAGTTCAAACGCCGTATACCAAACTGTCCCAATCTGCAACGCAATGCAACCAACAAAAATATCATGTACAGTGAATGAATCATCCGTCCCGATCAACACCATCAAGTCATACCCAGTTTCGGCCGCTCATAACGTGACCTTACACACGCGCCTATGCCAGGTCTTTGCTCATCTCAAACGTCCAGGCTCCGTCCTTGCGCATCCTGTCGCGGGCCACGAGGTCCTTCCTGATCTCGTCTTCCGTCAGACGGTCTGTGCCGCTCCAGTTGGCGCTCGACGTGCGCGCCCTGAACTTGTGCCAACGGTCCTTGCTCTTGCTGAACACCTCCTCCATCACGAGCGGCACCGGTGGCCCAAAGATCTGCGAGGGGTCCATAGTCTCCTGGCGGGTCAGAGCCCTGCGCAGCTCCGGCGAGTCGACCCACGCAGCAGCGCCAAAGTTCGCGTCGTCTTCCTCCTCGTCCTCGTCATCTGTGTCGATCTCTGGCAGCTCAATCGACTCGCCGTTCTGGAACCGCGGCGAGGACCGAGTCGCCGACTTGGCGGCTGATTTCGCACCGGCAGCGCCCTGCGGCCGGGCCGGCGTCTTGTGGGACGGTCCGGCCGGGTTGGGGTTGGGCGCAAAAGGAATCGCCCCCTTGGAAAACTGTGACATGTCCATAGGCTGCGTGCTCTTGACGGCGCTGTGGTGCTGAGCTGTGACGGTAGCCTTGAAGAGATCGCGAGACGCGCTCTGAGGCGGGACATTGGCATAGCCGGCCGAGAACATGGACTTGTTTGACATATCCTGGTCATCATTAGCTTCAGAGTCCTTAGACGCACCGAGCGCAAGCTTGCTGTACAAACTCACCTTCTTCAGTCCGCCAGAGGGCCGGACAGGCGGGCCCTTGATGTTAGGGGGCTGGCTGTCCATGTCCAGCTCGTCAAAGAAATCGTCGCTGGTCCGTCGGCGCTTGGCATCCTTGCCCTGGTAGCTCGGTCCGTTCCTGGCTTGCGGGTGGCGGGATGCACCGTCGTTGGTCTCCTGCTGCAAAGGTCGTTTAGGCGGTGCCTTGGCACCCTGGTTCAAAACTGCTGACACAGGACGGCCAAGATCCTCTTGAGGTCGTTGACTGGCAGTGTTCATACGCGATACAGGGCGGGGGGGCTGGTTGCTCGCCGCCGCCTTGTCCGAACCAGTATTGTAATCCGGAGGCCCGGTAGGCTGAGCCCGCACAGCGGGAGGTGGCGCTCGAGTCTGCTTGGCCCGCTCAATAGCGGCTTGACGTGCGGCGTTCTTCTTCGCCTCCGCCTGCGATGCAGCCTGCTCTCGTTCCTTGGCCTTCTGTTTCTCAGCCTCGAGCCGCTTCTGCTGTTCCTGCTTACGCTCCTCTTCTTGCAACGCCGCCCTCTTGCGTTCAATTTCCGCCTTGGCATCTCTCTTGCGCTGAGCCTCCTTCTCTTCAACCTCCTTTCGCTTCGCAGCAAGCTCCAGAGCCTTGGGCCTTCCGGCTGTAGAGCCTCTGAGGCTGGAAAGAGAGGGCTTTTGCTGGAGCGAAGCCGAGCTGGCCTTGCTCTTGAGTTGAGGCTGATTGGTGCCGAGGGTGTCGTGCAAGTTGGATGAAAGGGACGAGTTGGATGGATGATATTGTGAGTGCTGTGATCCGGTGTTGACGCGGATGACGGTAGGCGCCTGCCTCGACTTGGTTGCCGTCTCCTTTGTGGGCTTAAGCGGCCTCCGTACCTCTCTCGCACGGCTCGCCTGGCCTGGCCCAGCTGATCTGGGAACGGATGGGGGCGCCATCAAACCTGGCGCATCGTTCATGTCAGCATCCTCCTCCGCAGCGGCCTTTGCGGCAGCCTCTAGCTGAGCCTTCGTTTTACGAGGGCTTGTCCTGGTAGGTTTCTCCTGCTTGGGGGCGGGAGTTTGCACAACCTCCTGCTCTTTCTGAGCCGCAACCTTCTTTTCAAAGGCGGCGATCCTTTCCTGCTCCTTACTGAACACACGAGCCTTCTCGCGCTCCTTTTCGCGAGCCTTCTCCAATTTGTCCATCTGCTCGTTCATGACGCGGGCTTCCTTCTGTGTTTCCTTTTCCTTGCGTTTCTCCTCCTTTTCCCTTTCGGTGGAGGACCTCGTTCGCTTTGCGACCGGGCGCGTGGGGCTTCCAGAGCTGGAAACAACAGGAGCATCGTTTGTGGCGCGCTGGGACAGGTCGGGATACAACGAGTCAGTAGTAGTGGCCAACGTCGCAAGAGAGCTGGTTGAGGGGCCTGCATGGAAGCCAAGCCTAGTTGATGATGGCGACAGCATGGACTTGCCCTCGGCGCTGATAGCGGCACTGCTTGCCAGAAGCCCTCTGGAACTCTTGATGATCGAAGAAAGCTTGTTCTTAACCTGTTTCAGCGGGCTGTCGCGGAAGCTGCGTGATGGAGACTGGGGTGTTTGAGGACGTCCAGTCTCCGCTACGGACATGAGAGCTGGGTTGGAAACGGAAATCGCCTTCAGAGGCGAGCTGATGCCTGCTGGTCTAGAGGCCGTGCCGAGCTCGGGCAGCACCGATACCGACGCAGACTTAGTGTGTCCCAACGTGCTGGTTGTTCGCTCAGGCACCGCTGGGCCACGTTGAGGAGAGGTCGAGCGACTGCCAGCTTGCCGCTGCTTGGGCAGAACAAACTCTGCGCCGCTAACCGTGTCAATTCCGTGAATGCCCTCCATAATGTCCGCCGTGTAACTTTTTGGAAGCGCAGGACGAGGACTGGATTCAATATGATCCTTCTCCGGCACTGGTGGGGGAGCAATCCACTCTTCCT